AAATCCTAACAGCTCATAAACTGGCTGGGATTTCAGGGAGTTGTAGGCCAAAACAACTGGGGACCCACAGGTTGAGAACCACTGGTCTAAAGGTTCCTACAGAGAATGTACTCATGGAATACATAAATAATCAAACCCATTTTTTGCAAATGTGGAGAGACGGCTGTAATCTAAAGCTGAAGTGGAGAATTGGATTGCTGCTGAGTTTTCTAGGCTGTATGGTGATGTTCCAGAAGCATTCTCTCCTGACATTTCTCCCACATCTATGGCAGGCACCCCCGGAGGTTGTGATGTCACACAACCTCTGAGGATGCCTGCCACAGATGTGGACGAAACGTCAGGAGAGAATGCTTCTGGAACATGGCCATACAGCCCGGAAAACTCACAGCAACCCAGTGATTCCAGCCATGAAAGCCTTTGACAACACATTGAAGTAGAGAATACTTGGCATACTTTAGTTTGCCTTCAGTCTTCCTCGGTCTAGCTAACAGTAAAGGACTGTAAGGGCTGTAGGATCCTCAATCCTAAATTTAAGAGAGTAAAGAGGGAGTGACATACGCAGGGACTGAGCAAACACCCGGAATGACTCTGACCTCAAGTGTGACATTCCATTATTGTTTTTCGATACAACGAAAGGAATGAGACCCATTAAAATCGACACGTTTCCTCTAAATCAGCATCGCCCCGTTGATATTTGCTAAGCTTGCTGATCCAGCAATCTTCAAAAGCACACAGCAAGATGAATAATAAGAGATTTGTCAGTTAATAACCACTATAATTCAAGTGTGTCACACAGAAATGTTTTGTTTAGTGAACAATATGCTGTCTAATTACCCTGCTCAATCATTGCAAAACACATCAAGAAAGGGAGAAAAGCTTCATTTGAGGAGGGGGAAAAACTTGTACAGTACTTCAAAGAGCAAGGAAAGTCTTGCCACGCGCTACCAGTTACATCCTGAACCATATCTCACCGAAATGGATGGCTTTTGACTAAGTAAAGAACAAGGTTTCATTAACAGAAACAAAGGAATAGCTTCAACCAATATATGTGTGTGTATACTCCTTCGAGTCGCCTGTCAACTCCATGGATTTCATACATTTTCCTTAGGCATCGGATTTTCGGAAATGTTTTTGCGAGTTCCTTCCCTTGAAATATAGACAGCAAAACCTGGTATTCCTTGACAGTCTCCCATCCAAGTACATGGAGCCTCCGGTTGCGCAGAGGGTTAAACCCCTGTGCCGGCAGGACTGAAGACCGACAGGTCGCAGGTTCGAATCCGGGGAGAGGCGGATGAGCTCCCTCTGTCAGCTCTAGCTCCCCAAGCAGGGACATGAGAGAAGCCTCCCACAAGGATGATAAAAACATCAAATCATCCTAGCGTCCCCTGGGCAACGTCCTTGCAGACGGCCAATTCTCTCACACCAGAAGCGACTTGCAGTTTCTCAAGTCGCTCCTGACGCGACAAAAAAAAAATCCAAGTACTAACCAAGGTGACTCTGTTCAGCTTCCCAAGATCAGGTGGGATCTGGTGGCTTTAGGATAGGCATAGGCAAACTTGCCCCCCCCCCCCCCCCAGGTGATTTGGACTTTAACTCCCACAATTTCTACTGGTTGTTGATCTATTGATCAAATTGACAACAAAATATCATAGGAATCAGTGTTTTGGCATTCCCAGAAATATGGAGCAGCCTCTTAGAACAACAGAGATTGTTTTGGTGTCATCCTTCCAACAGCTTGGACACTTCTTCGTCCTTAGATTCAAGCATCAATAGCATTTTGTTTAAAAATGCCATTAGCGTCATGACACGTGGATTGCAGGTTGCACACAAATGTCCCCACTAAATGAGCTGGGATGATCAGATGGCTGGTTGTTCTTTGCACCATTGGATTTTGGGTTTTTTTTTTTTTTGGTTTGTCAGGAGTGACTTGAGAAATTGTCGCATCTGGTGTGAGAGAATTGGCCATCTGCAAGGACGTTGCCCAGGGGATACCTGGCTGTTTTGATGTTTTACCACCCTTATGGGAGGCTTCTCTCCCACATGAGGAGCTGGAGCTGATAGAGGGAGCTCATCTGTGCTCTTCCCGGATTCGAACCTCTGACCGGTCCTGCCGGCACAGGGGTTTAACCCATTGCGCCAACAGGAGCTCTGCTTGCCCTAGTGATCACTAGGGTTTGCCCTAGTGATTGCATCTTGCATGCTCAGACACCTACCCTAAACATTGACCCTCCTGGGGATTTGGACTCCAACTCCCACAATTTCCAACAGCCAGTAGGAAGTCCAAATCACCAGAAGGGTCGATGTTTGCCCATGCCTGCTTTAGGACAATCACCAATAACTTTTATCAATTTCTTTCACTGTGTCTGCCTCCGTAAGCCACATCCATGTTTTTTCCTTGTCAATTTTGTTCTGAGTTTTCTCCAGAAATTCTTCATGGAGAGCCTTCTTTTGCCAGCTGCTGCTTCTTCTTCTTCTTCTACTTCTTCTCCTCCTCCTCCTCCTCCTGCTTCTTCTTCTCCTCCTCCTTCTCTTCCTCCTCCTCCTCCTTCTGCTTCTCCTCCTGCTTCTTCTTCTTCTTCTCTTCCTCCTCCTCCTTCTTCCTCTTCTGATTCTTCTCCTCCTCCTGCTGCTGCTTCTTCTCTGCTGCTTCTCCTCCTCCTCCTCCTGCTTTCTTCTTCTTCTTCTTCTTCTGCTTCTCCTCCTCCTTCTTCTTCTGCTTCTCCTCCTGCTTCTTCTTCTTCTGCTTCTTCTTCTTCTGCTGCTGCTGCTTCTCCTCCTCCTCCTGCTTCCTCTTCTTCTCTGCTTCTTCTTCTTCTTCTTCTTCTTCTTCTTCTTCTGCTGTTGCTTCTCCTTCTCCTCCTCCTGCTTCCTCTTCTTCTCTGCTTCTTCTTCTTCTTCTTCTGCTCCTCCTCCTGCTTCTTCTTCTTCTCCTCTCCTCCTGCTTCTTCTTCTTCTCTTCCTCCTTCTTCTCTTCCTCCTCCTCCTGCTTCTTCTTCTTCTTCTTCTTCTTCTTCTTCTTCTCTGCTGCTGCTCCTTCTCCTCCTGCTTCTTCTTCTTCTTCTTCTTCTTCTTCTTGTCTGCTGCTGTTGCTTCTTCTCCTTCTCCTTCCTCCTTCTCCTCTTCTTCACTTTTCTCCCACATATGGGAGTCAAAGCGGCATACAAATAGCAAAAAGACAACTACATAATACAAAAGCAATCATCCCATCCACCCAATCATCCCACCCACCCAACATGTAAACAGTAAATCCAGACATTAAATAAAACATATGTTACATAAATATAAATAAACATCAAAATAATCACAGATAACATTATCATTAAAAACCCAAGCCACTGCGGCTATCCAAATATGTTAAAACGTTAAACATTAAACTAAACAACTCAGAGCTCCAAGTCATGAAAATATACTATTTTTGTATCAACTTATAATGTTCTTGCAAGAGCAAGTAGCTCAACATTTAATGGGCTTATTATAAACTACTACGACTCCTGGTTATCGCCACTACGCTTCATATATCTCTCGCAAAGGCGTGGAAGCATAAATTTGAAAGGCATGAAATTGTAAACAACTCCAAAGAGTCTTTTTCACATTTCCCTCTTGTTGTTTCGGGTCTTTCAAAAGTAAGTAGGACAGTGCAAGCGTTTCTGATGTGAGCAGACACCAAGGCATTCAGATGCAAATGGCTGTTGTGGTGGTGAGAGGCATCCAGTATTATCCTAGCGACTTCCTAGAATGTCAAAATATTTACTCTCCTCCAAGCGCTTAAAGCGAGAAGAGAGTCGGATTTCACGGGATGGAGGTGTCAAACTCCGCTCCCCCTTCTGATGACACCACGACATGAATCAATAATGCTGAGAAAGGAAACTTCAGTCTTCATTTGTCACTAGAGGATGTTCAAGGACACGGAGGGAGGTGGCGGAAGGCAGCAACAAAGCACTGCTACCGGCTGCTTTGGAAACGGCAAGCAAATGGTGAAATCCACTTGTTACCGTCGGTAGCTGCTTTTATAAACATCACATAGATACTCTACTACAACTACATCAAAAAACAATAGTCCAAACCGTCTTAATATAAGCTGGAGGGCAGTTCCAGAGCAAGAACTCATAAGAAAGATTTCTAGCAGGACTCACAAACTGATACCCGAATGTAAGAAACTTTGATAGGAGATGGGTTGTTGTAGGTTTTTTCGGGCTATATGGCCATGGTCTAGAGGCATTCTCTCCTGACGTTTCGCCTGCATCTATGGCAAGCATCCTCAGAGAGGTAGTGAGGTCCTTTGAGGATGCTTGCCATAGATGCAGGCGAAACGTCTTGAGAGAATGCCTCTAGATCATGGCCATATAGCCCGAAAAAACCTACAACAACCTAGTGATTCCGGCCATGAAAGCCTTCGACAATATTTTGATAGGAGAGATGAAGAGCCACAAAATAAGTAAAGATAAACGTTTTCCCCTGACATTAAGTCTATTTGTGTCCGACTCTGGGGTTTGGTGCTCATCTCCATTTCTAAGCCAAAGAGCTGGCGTTGTCCGTAGACACCTCCAAGGTCATGTGTCCACTGGCATGACTGCATGGAGTGCCGTTACCTTCCCACCGGAGCGGTACCTATTGATCTACTCGCATTTGCATGTTTTCGAACTGCTAGGTTGACAGAAGCTGGGGCTGACAGCAGGACCTCACGCCGCTCCCTGGATTAGAACCTGCAACCTTGGTGATGTTACAACACAGATTACATTGCTAATCACATGATTCCTCGTTCTATACATTCTTGGTTACATCTGCACCATAAAATAATGCAGTTTTATATCACTTTAACAATCCCTCCGAATCATCTGAGAGTTTTGTATATCCAATGTTCTGGTGGCCTGTTTATGTCGGATAAGCGAGACTCTACTATATTATGAATATGGCATATTATAAGCTACTGAGCACAAATCACACTTGAAAACATTTTACTCTGTGGGGGACCTGGAAAGTTATTGCCAGAAAGTACTTACGAGCCACTGAGAAGTTGTTCAAGGGGGACTCCCGTTGGTCCACATCTTGTGGTCGTTCCTTGTAACCAATGAACGTTCCATCGTTCTTCAGTAGGAAATACCTTGGCCTCCATGTTTTAATGTATTCTCCTGATGGGATGAAAAGAAGTATTTTTTTATAAAATAGTGACTACATGTGGAACATTTCATAGATAGCCAAAATGGTCAATGAAAATAAAGAACAATACCCTTCCCCCCCTCTAATACTGAAATATCTATCCATCACAAAACATCAAAAGGAAAGATGGTATAACGTTCACTAAAGTTCAAACACCTGTTGATTCATGAAGCTGAATGAAGTCTATTTCAGCTCAAACCTCACTTATAGGTTAAAATCAGAACAAATGGATATCAAGCTACAATATGACCCCCATATCGACAGGAAATACATTCCTGGTCTTCACATGGAAATGCAAAACGGCAGATACTAGTGAACCATAATATCTGACCAAGGAATACCAGGACTTACAAAATACCTACAGAGGACATATTTGGTTGTATGTGGATAAATGAAACCATGGATACTACTCCTGTGGATACAGGGGTTGTATTGTACTTGGCTTGACGAATCACACACACCACGTTTTTTAAAGAGAGGGGCATTTGATGTTGTTATGTGTCATGGAGTTGACTTCAACTTCCAGCAACTATTTGAATATGAGGACCCCCAAGTCTCTATTTATTAGCTATTGGGAATCTATCAGAAAACCATATTCAAGAAAATCAGTAGCTGGTCCTCCATTACAATGAAGCACACAGGTTGGCAACGGTGGTCCACTAGATGCTTTTAAACGTCAATTCCCACAACCTTTCACCACTGGATATATTGATATGACTGGTCATTAAGTAGGTCATTAAGTCCAACCCCCTATTCAGAGAAGGAACATCAGCTAGATCAGCGGTTCTCAACCTGTGGGCCCCCAGGTGTTTTGGCCTACAATTCCCAGAAATCCCAGCCAGTTTAACAGGTGTCAGGATTTTTGGGAGTTGAAGGCCAAAACATCTGGGGACTCATCAGTTGAGGACCACTGACTAGAGCAAAAACTCTCTTTTCTCTCTCTCTCTCTTTTGCCCCTATGTTCACCTTTGCATCTACTACATATGCATATTGCCCAGTACAACCATGTTAGATGTAGAATATGATTTAAAATGTATTTTATGTAGTGTGCATATTGTCATAAATTTATTTATTTATTTATTTATTTACTTTGCTTATATACCGCTGTATCTCAAGCCCGCAGGCGACTCACAGCGGTTCACAAACAGTAAAAACAGTAGAAACAGCAGTGGTTCCATACAACATATAACAATTGACTTAACACATTATCCATAAATTACCAATAAGCAATTACAATGCACAATTATTAAAATTATTTTATAATATATATATATATATATAACATATAACAATTGACTTACATATAACAATTGACTTAACACATTATCCATAAATTACCAATAAGCAATTACAATGCACAATTATTACAAAAAACAACCGTACCCAATCTTCTCATCATCCAAGCGTAGTCCAGATTCGTCGTCCATTGTTCCATTCCTATGTTCCATTACCAGATTGTACTAAATTACTCAAACGCCTGCACAAACATCCAGGTCTTCACCTTTTTGCGGAATACCATTAGAGATGGTGCTAGTCTAATGTCCGTAGGAAGGGCGTTCCACAGCCGAGGAGCCACCACCGAGAAGGCCCTATCTCTCGTCCCCGCCAGCCGAGCTTGAGAAGCAGGCGGGATCGAGAGCAGGGTCTCCCCGGAAGATCTCAAACTCCTGGTGGGTTCATAGGCAGAGATGCGGTCAGATAGGTAGCTTGGGCCTATATTGACACCCTGTATTGACACTCATCTCTTGCACTCTCTGCCTCTTCTCTTGACTTCCTTCCCGCCCTCTACACAAAACGCGTCTTGTGCCATTAAAGAGCATGTGCTGGTTATGGCAATGACAAATAGGGTTGATAATTGGTTCCACTTCTAAAAACCTCTTGCCATCAAGAAATACTATCTAATGATCAATCTAAATCTACCTTCCTGGAACCTAAAATCATTATGTTAATATATGGGTGGGACTGGATCAACACCAAGTGGATATTACCCTATATACCCATGTATAGGTCTAAAAAAATTACCCCCCCCCCAAAAAAAAATCTTGATCCAACGTATTCATGGGTCAATGTGAGTCCTGTATCTTATCATTTATCAAATAAGGAACCAACCCCTTCTCTGAGTAGAGTAGCAAAAGGCAGAAGCTTACACCATCCAAGGATAATCTAAAAGAAGCACCCACAATCCCTCTTTACTCTCTCAAACGTGGTGGCATTAGTGCTTTCATCTCTCCACAGAATGACAGGATTTGGGAACAACATTCATGGAATACTGTGTCCACCTGGAATATTGTGTCCAATTCTGAGCACTGCAATTGAAGGGAGATGTTGACAAGTGGAATGTGTCCAGAGGAGGGTAACTAAAATGATCAAGGGTCTGCAGAACAAGCCCTATGAGGAGTGGCTTAAAGTGCTGGGTATGTTTAGTGTCCACCAGAGAAAGGTAAAAGGAGACAATATAGCCATGTACAGTAGAGTCTCACTTATCCAACATAAATGGGTTGGCAGAACATTGGGTAAGCGAACTTGTTGGATAATAAGGAAGGGTTAAGGAAAAGCCTATTAAACATCAAATTAAATTATGATTTTACAAATTAAGCCCCAAAACATCACGTTTTACAACAAATCGACAGAAAAAGTAGTTTAATGCATAGTAATATTATATAGCAATAACTGTATTTATGAATTTAGCATCAAAACACTGCAATGTATTGAAACAGCTGTGGATCCAGACGGGAGCCAGACTGCGTTGGATAATACAGAATGTTGGATGAGTGAAGGTTAGATAAGTGAGACTCTACTGTATAAATATTTATAAATACTGTATAAATATGTGAAGAGAAGTCATAGGGAGGAGGGAGCAAGTTTGTTTTCTGCTGCCCTGGAGACTAGGATGAGGAATAACGTCTTCAAACTACAGGAAAGGAGATTCCATCTGAACATTAGGTGAGCTGTTCAGCAGTGGAACTCTCTACCATGGAGTGTAGTGGAGGCTCCTTCTTTGGAGGCTTTTAAACAGAGGCTGGATGGCCATCTGTCGGGGGTGCTTTGAATGCTATTTTCCTGCTTCTTGGCAGGGGGTTGGACTGGATGGCCCATGAGGTCTCTTCCAATTCTGTGAAATCCACAATGTTGTTCCCAAATCCTGCCCTTGATATATATATGAGGATAACTTGTACATGAGTATATATGGCAATCCAAAAGAGTCAAAAAGGGAGATTACTTAGTCATTTTTCTCAATGCCTACATGCCTACACGTCTCAGGGCGGTTTACAAATGGCACAATTCAATGCCCCCAACAACATAAAAACAATTAAAAACATTTAGCATAAATGACATGAGATGAAACATATATCATTCTCATATTGCAAAAAGAAAATAGTGGGGATGAGGAACAGGGCCTTCTCTGTGGTAGCCCCCCGACTCTGGAACTCTCTCCCCAAGGACATCAGACAAGCCCCAACGTTGGCTGTCTTTAGGAAGCGCCTGAAAACCTGACTGTTCCAGTGTGCCTTTCCAGAATAGGAAACTCCTGGTTTCAAATCCCAAATGCATCTTGCTAGAGATTTAGGATTATCTACACATTGCACCTACCCCAAATACCTCTACATATTACCTGTCACGACAGCACTTTTTAAATTTTGTCCATTACATTTGGCCCGGCCTTGGTTTTAATTGTGTCACGGTGTTATTGTTTTGCTTGATGTTTATTATTTGCATATGAGTTTATTGTGTATTGTATGTTGTTGTTGTCGGCGGTCTTGGCCTTTGTAAGCCGCATCGAGTCCTTCGGGAGATTTTGCGGGGTATAAATAAAGTTAATAATAATAATAGTAAGTTATAGTATCAGTTACGTCTTCGATGTTAATAGTGGTGTCAATTAACAAACAGATCTTCTGAAACGTTAACAAAGCTGCTTTTATTTCTTGATTCTGCTTGTAATCTAAGATCTGAATTCTGCACGATTTGCCCTGAACACCATTTTTAAATCCTGTATAACCTCCCCTCCCTCTCCTTTGTAATCAACAACAAAAACAAAAAGAAGTCACAGCAGATGTCCTACATATTATTTTTCTGCTATTGTCATTTTTCATACTGACAAGGAGAGGATTTTTTTTACATTTACATTTTGCAGTGCAAGTGTTTTAAAACAATGGTTCGTTTCATTAATTAGCCCGCTGGTTTCTCAAGTTAACAGTCAAATGTAAGCAAGTAAGAAACATGCAAGCCTGACCTCTGAAGAGCAACACTGTGCATTATGTTAAGGATTCTTTTTTTAAAATCTAAAAACAACAACAACAACAACAACAACAACAACAACAAAACACCTATGTTCCATGTTGGCTCATTTCTTAATTTTTTTTTCTGGCAACAGCATTTTCCCCAAGGTCCAGAGGGGAAAATTTCTTCCTCATATGCAATAATTCTATCCCCTAGCAATTTACCACTGAAATTATTGTTTACAATTTACAACACCTTTGGAGACAAAGAGGGCAAGAGGATTGTCTGGGGAAAAAACCCCACAATTTAATGCAAAGTCTGATTGCATCATGTCTACAAGACTCCAGGGGATGCCTATCTATATAACCTTACTCCATGTTTATGCTCCAGCTACTGAGGCAGAAGAAGACATTGGAAGATTCTATGTGAGAGTCCAGAAGAAAACTGATCAAACACCAAAATAGGACTTCTTGGTAAGCATAAGCAATTGGAATGCAAAAATAGGAAACAGAGAAAACTGAGCGACTATGAAAAATCAGCCGAGGAACGAGAATGAAGCAGCAGATCAACTGGTTGAATTGTGCTAGGTCAACAATCTGGAAATCATAAAACACATTCTTCAAACAGCTCAAGAAATGACATGGACATCAACCTGATGGCAAAAAAAGAAAAATAAATCAAATAGACAACATATGCAACTTAAAGTAGAAAATATAGAAGCTCCATTCTTTTCTGCAAAAACAAGACCAGGAGC